TTATTTATTTATTGGACTTATATACCGCCCCATAGCGCTACAAGCACTGTCCGGGCGGTTTACAATTTTAATTATAAAGGCTACACATTGCCCCCCCAGCAAGCTGGGTACTCATTTTACCGACCTCGGAAGGATGGAAGGCTGAGTCAACCTTGAGCCGGCTACCTGGGATTTGAACCCCAGGTCGTGAGCACAGTTTTAGCTGCAGTACAGCGTTTTAACCACTGCGCCACGAGGCTCCTCGTGCTTTACTGCTGATTTTATTTGCTGGTTTTAATATAATATTTTTTAAATTCTTTTTAATATTTGTATACTTACTGTTTTTGCTTTTAAATATTGTCTTTTTCATTATATAAGCCACCCTGGATCCTTTTCAAGAAGAAGGGTGAGATAAACATATTTTAAATAAATAATAAATATCCTACTCCACTGGGCTAGAGGTGTTCGCTATTAAATAATCTTATTTTTTTTAAAAGACTACATTCTTTTAAAAAAGAGATTACATTTTTAAAAAATGTTTACAAAATGGAGCACAACTCAGAAATTTCATTGAGATTTAACATGCTTCTCTGATATATATAAAGACAAGCAGCTTTGGATGTCTTTATAAGGCATATCATCTAATTCAGTGGTTCCCAACCTTGGGTCCCCAGATGTTCTTGGACTGCAACTCCCAGAAATCCTGACCAGCACAGCTAGTGGCGAAGGGTTCTGGGAGTTTTAGTCCAAGAATGTCTGGGGACCCAAGGCTGGGAACCACTGATCTAATCAGTTTATAATTTTAGTTCTCCAGTTTCTCTCCCACGTATCTTACAAATGGCATGTGTTGTTTGGCCATAGGACACTTAATCGATTTTTTAAAAATAGATCCGTTTTCTTTGGACACTGTTGCTACATTGTTTTTATTGTCATCTTATTTTAACACAATGCACCCTTCCAGTCATGTGTTGAAGTATTAGACCTCCCATTAACATGGCACAGCCAGTGCTGAAGAATTCTGGGAATTGTAGACCATCAACACTGGAAGGCTGCACATTGCCCATTCTATTTAACACTTTGTTTAATTAATTAGTGATTTTACAATGTAGAGACAACATCCGTATCACAAGCAAATCTTTAAATCTACCGTCAAGTCCTCTGGAAGTGCTACCAAGTGAGCAACCAGAACATGACACTGGCCTTGGCTACTTCAAGACCTGTTGGGTTGGAGTTGATGGGGGTTTAGTCCAGTATATCTTGTTTGGGGAACGGTGCTGAGCCAAAAAGAATGCAACATCATTAGCGTACATCCATGTGCATGTGTTTCCAGGCGCCTTTGCCACCTTTGAAAGACCTGCACATGCTCTTCAGAACAACCTTGCCTTGCTTCTAAACGCCCATGTGCCAAGCAACAATATTCATGATGCGCCTGCAAGAACAACACGGTTGGGTGAGTTTGTTTTTATTTTTAAAAGAGTGTGTAAAAATTTGGCACTGGATCAAACTGTTCCAATGCTTGCCAAATCACAATGGAAGATCGGTTGATGTCTCTATTAGCTACTGTAGGTACCAAAAAAAAAAAAAACCTGTCTGTAATATGCTCAATCATGCTAAAAACATTCGTACTCCCCCACCCACAACTCCCACAACATAAGCAAAACCTTCAATAGAGTTTCCCAAAGGCTAGGTTGGTTCTGATGGCTAGGCAGTTTTGCTAGGATTGCAAATATCACCTAGAAATTCTGTCTAATATTACCAAAGCTTTGCTAACATCAACTATTTACAGAGTATGCTATCAATATTCGCAGCAATAGAAAATGTTGAATAAATACAGAATGTCTCAAAGCATATTCAATGACATCTGAAACGACACACAAATTTTTTGCCTGGCTTTTTTTAAATAAAAAGGATTTTCTTGACTAGATGTTTGATTGTCCTAACTAGATGTTTGGTTACTTTCTTTCATAGGAGTTGGTCTAAATGGAATTTTGATTTCTATCTTACATTATTGCTAGTTCTAGATGCCTGTGGATCTGGGAGCCGTGCCATCAGAATACTGTACTCTCCCAGCTGCTTCCTGAAGAAGCCATAAGATGCTTCTTTTAAGTGAACTAAAAAAGTGATTTTAACTAATTCTGCAATAATATATGAGACCTCACTCTGTCCATTTCCACAAAAAGGTGGTGAAAACATGAAGAAGGTAAGAGGTGTGGGTTTTGAGGAATCAGAGGAAATGAAAGATTTCAATTCCTCAAGTCTGCAGTTTTGTGAAGGCAAAATGCTTCAAATTCTGACATGCTCCATTACAGTCAATTAGACCCTAAATCTAAATGTTTGCTTCTGTTGGTTCAGGATTGTGGCAGTTCCACCCATTTTGCGCCTTGATGTATAGATGTACGGTATCTATAATTAATTGTGTAAGGTTTGTATGAGAGTAGTATTATCAGACTCTGTAGTGGAGATGCAAAAGTGTGCTGGTGTGATTGTATTGAAGGACTGAATGCTAATTGGTTAGTGTAATTAGAATGTAGGGGTGGGATCTGTGTGTCAATTAAGGAATTCCAGTTTAATTTGAATCAGAGAGGGATTAGAGAAAGATTAGGAAGATTAAAGCAGAATGTTTGGTCTGAAAGTCTGATAGAGAGGGAAGTCTGTTTTAGAATTGCTCAAGAAAATTAGTCTACAGTACTAGTGCTACAGTTTATTCACAGACGTCTGTCTATAAAATAGTGTTTGATATTTAAACACATAAGAAATATGTTTACATTTTACTGTTGTTTAACCTTTGTTATTCACATCATACGAGCCTACCTTTCTCCTCATTCTTATTAGCTGTGATGCCTCCATAAGAATCCGGTTTCTCTGTTTAAACTCTCATTATTTATTTTCAGACTAACTAGGAATAAGCAACCAAGACTATTAACAGACAAAATTACACTCATGTCACATGAAGCTATGTTTTAACAATACGAACACAAGGTTTAATTGGGACTAAGGAACGCAGAGTTTAACTGCGACTAAGAAACTCTTTCACTAAACCCCTGAATTATCTAAGGTTGTGACTACATGGGCATTTGTTCTTCTGTTTGGTCTACTATGGGAACAGCAGGTTCTCTTCTGTAACCAACAATCAAATAACGTGCATGCCAGTGCAAACCAGCCCATCCTCAGAGCATTCCTACCCGCATCTTTCTGGCTCCCTGTCGTGGAGACTATACTTTTAAAGGTGTGGGTAGGATTGCTCTGTTTTGGTTTGTTTCTAGCATGTGTGATCACTGGGATTGAACCAAAGTGGACTTTATTGCTTTCAATTCCACATACAGCTTCAATTTCCCATTATTGTCAAGCTTCATCACTTAATAATATTGAGAAAATAACAATTTCTTCTGCTTCTCCATGGAGGGGCAGAGAGAGGAAGCAACTTTAAAAACAAAAGCCAATTAATTAGGACAGCACTGATGTACTTTATCTTTTAGGAAAAACAAACAAACAAACAAATAAAAAGCTTCCTTGCCAGGAGGGGGCGAAGAAAGGTTTTTTTTTTCCCTTTCTTTTTGAAAAGAAGGTGGGCCAAAAAGGGTTCTTGAGGAGCACATGTCATGTGGATCTCATCAAATCCCAAACCAGATCACTAGGCAACCCGATACAGCCCACTCCAATTGAACCATACACCCAAGCTCTCAGATACAAACTTGGGAACAAAGGAGGCTGTGACTGGGATAATATAGAAGGAACAACCTCAAAATACTTGGATGTGGGTTGAGGGCTGCTCTTTCCTACTAGCACTTAAGAGTGGTGGCTTAGATGTTTTAAAGTGTTAAAAGATGCCCAAGAGA